TCAACAATCCCTCATCCCACTGCAACCATTTCAAAACTCTACTGCCCCACTCTACTTCTATAGCCTTATCCTGCTTCGGCAAATACCAGCCACACATTAAAATTTGCTCGTTTTCGATTTCAAATTCTTTACTCTGATCCAAAAAACCCTTACAACCTCATCTTACTGCTCCTCATTATTATATATCCACTGCACTCATCCCAGAACCTATTCAGTGTGCTCCTTCTAGATATTCCTCATTCTAACTTCTAAATCCCTACCACTAGCACAAACTCACTTCTCATCCTTTCCTCATAACATTATGTAAACTCAAGGAAACATGACTTTTATGAAAGCTTTCTGACTGTTCACAAAGCAAACTCTCCCAAAAATCCACTTAATTCAGCTCATCGGACCACACAATTGCGTTGCATTACTCCCTGTTTCCAACAAAGAATTATTATTATTTATTTTATTCTTTATTTTGAAGATGCGTAAGGTTTGTGTGCAGCTCGGCATTCAATGAGAGGTCACTGAAGTTGGGGTATGCATCGTAAGTATACAGAGCACTTAGTCATGGTATGAACCAAGAATTATTTTAAGGATAAATCTCCATCTCTCTAAGAATCTTAAACTCTGCTTCCACCATGTATCATTTATGATTTGTAGAACAAGAATGTATTTTGCTCAATCGTTAAAAATTATATAATCCATGTGCAATCAGTGTGCAATTATTGACTGCATAATTAGCTCTCGATAATATGACTCCACCTTATTCCAACACTACTCTGTAAAAGTATTAGCAATTAAATAATTAATTAAAGTATTATTTCTAATTTGTGTAAAGAATCCAAAATAAGAATACAAAACATGCAACGATACATAAATATGTAAGTGGGGGTCTGCATTTTTCTAATTTGTTAACAAACTGAACGTATGTTGTAATATACCTAATATGATGTTATGAATTTTGATTTTCATGTTTATCATTTACGTACTCATATTTAGATCAAGAGCTTTACAGTGTCAAAAGCAGTCAATACGTTAGTCCTTATACATTTTTTAGCTACTCTGCTTAAGTATTGAACTATACTCTTTGTAAAAGCACATGTATTTGATTAGCAGGGAAAGCACAAAGAGATTGTGTCTATATATATAAATTTGTATATGTTTCGCTGTTGGTACTTTCATGAATTAGCATACACATCAATCAGCAATGTAAATAATATTCACAGCTGCTAAAAGTCAGTTTAGAAATCAATAGTACTCATTATCATGACTTGCAAGCATAATTGAGCTCAGCTAACAGATCTAGAGTTTTCTAGAGTTGTCTTGCCCCCTGTGCTATAGAGCTGTCCCTTCTGTCCCTTAGAGCTCTCCCCTGCCCCTTAGTGGTCTCTCCTCTCCCCCACCCTTCCCTATTGGTCTCTTCTCACACTCACCCACCATGTGCTCTTCTCATCCCCCCTCCACCCTCCCTGAGTTCTTCTCACTCCCCCCATGTGTTCTTCTCACCTCCCCCTCTCCTTGTGTTCTCCTCATCTCCCCCTCACTGTGTTCTTCTTACCCCCTCTCCTCCCTGAGTCCTCCTCACCTCCCCCCTCCCTGTGTTCTCCTAACCACCCCATCCACCCTCCATTTGTTCTTCTCAGTCCCCCCCGTTCTCCTCTCCCCTTCTCCTCACCCTCTCCCCCTCACTCCTTGTGTTCTTCTTACTTTCTCCCTCTGTGTTCTTCTTACCCCCTCCCTCCCTGTGTTCTTCTTACTTCCCGTTCTTCTTACTTCCCCTTGTTCTTCTTACTCCCCTTGTTCTTCTTACTCTCCCATTCTTCTTGGCCCTGTTCTTCTTACCCTCCTGTTCTTCTTACCCCCGTTCTTCGCCTCCCCCTTGTTCTTCTTACTTCCCCTTGTTCTTCTTACCCCTCCTGTTCTTCTTATCCCCTGTTCTTCTTACTCCCCACCCTGTTCTTCTTACTCCCCACCTGTTCTTGCCCCTGTTCTTCTTTTTCTTACTCCCCCCTTCTTCTTACTCCCCCCACCTTTTTTTCTTACTCCCCCTCCTTCTGTTACTCCTTCTGTTACTCCTTCTGTCACCCTTTACCTGTAGCTTGGCCGAGCTCCTCTCCAGTGCCCGGCCGGAGTGATAGGAAGGTGCATACTCAGTGTGCACTTTCCTATCACTCCGGCCGGGCACCGTGGACCAGAGAGGAGCTCGGCCACACTACAGGGAAGGGGAGGAGAGAAGCAGAGCGCTCAGGCGGCTGCAGTATTAGGATTGGCCCTGCAGCGACTGGTTTTAAAATGATTTATGGCAATTGTCTCCCTGCCCCTGCACACATACATACATAGAGACACACACACACACATACACACAGATACATACAGACACACACACAAGACACACATACATACAAACAGACAGGCACACATACATACAGACAGACACACACATACAGACCGACACACACAGACACAGACAGGCACACACACATACAAAGACACATACATACAAACAGACAGGCACACATACATACATACATACATACAGACAGGCACATACATACAGACACACATACATACAGACAGGCACACACACACACAAGACACACATACATACAAAGACACATACATACATACAAACAGACAGGCACACATACATACATACAGACACGCACTCACACACATACATACAAAGACACATACAGACAAACAGACAGGCACACATGCATACATACAGACACACAGACAGACATACATACAGACACACACACACATACAGACAGACACACACACACAAGACACACATAAATACAAAGACACATACATACATACATACATACATACATACAAACAAATAGACAGGCACACATACACACATACAGATGGACAGACACACACACATACATACACAGACACATACATACAGACAGACACACATACAAACAAACACACATACACAAAATGTTTAAGTCACCTTTCTGTTTCCTACCTTTAGGTGCAGTAGGGTGACTTTCTCTGGGGTCCAGTGGTGGCTTAGGTTGATGGGAGAGTCAGAGGAAAGAAAAATACAATACCAGAATATTAAAGATAAAAATCTTTAAAGGGACACTATAGTCACCTGAACAACTTTAACTTAATTAAGCAGTTTTGGTGTATAGAACATGCCCCTGCAGCCTCACTGCTCAACCTTCACTGCCACTGAAGGTGTCCCTAGAGAGCACTGTAAATACTGTCTTTTTTCTGAAAAGGCAGTGTTTACAGCAAAAAGTCTGCAGGGACTGACTATATTCACCAGAACAACTACATTATACTGTAGCTGTCCAGGTGACTATAGTGTCCCTTTAACTTTGCTGCAACACCAATTTCAACAGCGTCGTGCCCTAGTGAATCAAACTAATACACTTACTAAAGCATCAAATACTGCATGTACCAATATATTTTCTAAATATTCTAAGGTGTATAATTATAGCCAAGTAGTATTATATTCAGAGAGGCTCTTCGTAACTGTGTTCTTAAAAAAAACCTGTGGCAGCCAAGTGATACTCAGAACATGAGCTGCAGCCCGCATCCCTTTCATTTAGATACACCAGGTAATTTTAGATTATATCCAATATCAAAATCCCAATTTACATAAATTGCACAAAACATTGACTAACACTGAATCATGCCACCGTGCAACCAATGTGGGGAGAACATGCAACTTGGCACTTAATTTAAATAGCTTTGATTATTTAATAAAGGCATAATACTAACCACACTCATTAGCCGCTATTTAGAATGTGTCCTTGAATACATTATTGAGACTAATGTACTCACTTTACTGCAAACAACTTAACAATAGATAGCATTATGACACACAGAATATCCTAATTAGTGAATATAATCTATGTCAACGCTTTCTAGGCAGGAAAGCTCATTTAAAGAGAGCGAGATTACAGTAGAACCTTTTAACGATTTAGCAGTGCAAATTTTCTAATTTGCTTTCTAAATGTACTATGTACTATTTTACACATTATTTAAGCTTTCTGGAATATTTCACTGTGCTTAATTAAATCTTTAATATTTTACCATTTGTTTCACTAAGAAGTCTTAGTACTTATGATGCACTATGCTACTGCATGCAAAGTGTGAAAAAAAGCTTATTTACTTTTTTGCTATGCCCTTACTGGAGAAAAACTACCTTAATCTGTGAGTGAAAAATATTACTCAAGCATAACATAGCAAAATATGGAACCTTGAAATATATAAGCTTTACTGCTGCCTCAGAATTGTTCTAATTATAAGGAAAGCCTTTGATAAAGTACTAAAAGTTAACACATGCTCTCCCTGCATGCGTGCTATTATGCATTCACTCAAGGAACACTATAGGGTCAGGAACACAAAAGGTATTCCTGATCTTATAGTGTTAAAGGGACACTATAGTCACCTGAACAACTTTAGCTTAATGAAGCAGTTTTGGTGTATAGAACATGCCCCTGCAGCCTCACTGCTCAATCCTCTGCCATTTAGGAGTTAAATCCTTTTGTTTATGAACCCTAGTCACACCTCCCTGCATGTGACTTGCACACCCTTCCATAAACACTTCCTGTAAAGAGAGCCCTATTTAGGCTTTCTTTATTGCAAGTTCTGTTTAATTAAGATTTTCTTATCCCCTGCTATGTTAAGCTTGCTAGACCCTGCAAGAGCCTCCTGTATGTGATTAAAGTTCAATTTAGAGATTGAGATACAATTATTTA